AGATCATTTTGAATTTCAGATTTCGAATTAACATATAAAACTCATAACTCAACTCATAATAGATAGGTTGTGTCAGATTTTCGGATTGGATCTAATTTTGTCATATCTACTCATTCTAAACATTATAGTTTCTTTTTCCTTTAAATAGATCAATTATTTTTAATCAAGTGTCTATTTAATTTACAACAAATGACTTCATTTAAAAAGAAACTTTTTTATAAAAAAAAATTTCCTTTTTAAAAATTATTTTCTAATGTTTAGAATATTTTCAAAAACTTTCTAAAGTAAATGTTTTCTATTGTTTGGTAAGATAAGGAAAATCTTCAAAATTTTCAAAATATTAATTAATTGAAATTTTTAAAAATTTTCAGAATATTAAAAGTTAGAGTTAAAAGATTAAAAAATAATAAAACACACATTTATCAATTTTAAATTTTCTATCATACTATTGAAATAGAAATTCAAATACCAAATTTTCAATGCTAGATGGTAACATAAAAAATATTGGATGTTAAAAAAACTATCCATAAAAACAATACTAAAAAAAACCCACTTTCCATAATATCTGTAACATTTCTATATGCTTATACCATTCTATATCTCTTACAACAAAAACCGAGTTCCCCAAAAAGAACCAAAAAGTACTAATAAAAAAACAAAACAAAAATCTTCATATCGCTGCACCAATGACCTACTTTTTTTTTTTTTTCAAGTCATTGACTAGTATTCATTGTTTTCAGTAAATTTGTATTTAATAATGGCCAAAACAAAACGAAATTGATAATCTGATGTTTTCCAATAAAAGCTTCACCTAATTTTGTGTTGATGCCAGAAAACAGAGCAGCAGGATCAAGACAAGAAAAAGAAGCTTTGATCTTTCCCTGTTCGGAATGGCGTTTGAAAGTCGGTAATCTGCTTTTCTGCAAGTTGGATCCTAGGACCGCTTGTTTTGCAAGTTGGAAAACAAAACTTCCCAAATGCTATCCAGAAGTCATTTTCAGGAAATTTTCTATCGCATTTTCGTTTACTTGACTTTACTTCCATTGACTTATTTTCCAAAGAGTTATCTAACACTCCAAAATACAAGAATTAGGCTTAATTTCTTATTTAATCCTTTAATTTATAAATTTTAAAGTTATTATTAGTCTCTTACTAAAAAACTAAAAGATATTAACCCCTCAACAATAAAATTTATGAGAATTTATCAATATTTAACAGATTTTAATATCGCATATTAATCAAATGTCATTTTTTACTTAATCAATAATATAGTCAGCATACACCATTACCCCCGGGCTCCAAACTCCTCAAGCTAGGGTTTGGAGTCAGCAGGCCTCTTCCTTCAGGACTTCTCGTTGGTAGCGGAGCCTCTCTACCTTTCTTCCTCTTCGCTTCAAGCCTTCGGACAGTGTTTTTCGATCAATCCGATTGGGGTGCCATAACTTGGTGCTTCTCCTAGTCCTCTGATTCACAGATCTGATTGGGAGCGCCATATCTCTGCAAAATCGCCTTGCTTCGCCACTACAACAACATCCCCATCATGGTGGAAGATGACTTAGGATTTATGCTCAGCTGGATCCGAATCGCGGAGAACGAAGACGGGATCCTCCCACTGCATATGGTTTGGAAATAGGACGATGCTAAAGTGGAAAAGTTACGGTTGGTTGGGAAATTGTTATCCCGAAGGAGGATCAACCTTAATGGCCTCCAAAACGCTTTAATGGCTTCCTAAAACCCTAAGAAAGCTATTGTAATTGTTGATCCGAGTGGTTGTTATTGGAGGTTGATTGGGTTTCTCGGCCGAAAGCAGGAGGAAAGGAATGCAATTGGGGAAGCTGATGGTGTTCTAAAAGGGGAGAACGCTATTCCAATCACTAAAGGGGCTCTCGTTCCCTTAATGAATTTCGGCCACATGGGATTAGAGATGATTGGAACAATTAGGGCCATGGTTGGGAGCTCATGGAGACAAGACAAGGGAGGTGCCTAGGCTTGGATGGAGGACCATGCCCCTCTTGTTGATTATTCCTCAATGAATAGATAGGGCGATAACTTGTGGGTTGTGGACTGTTTGTTGTCAAAATACCTTGCTCTTCCCATGAAGCTAGTTAAATGGGTGAGGACGTTCAGTAGGTTGTGATGCTCATAACGACTCTCCTTTTACATTAATAGCTTTATTTGGCTTATACAATGATTGTAATCACAATCTCTAGTTGCATATGACTCTATTTACTTAATTATCTATATTCGTCATGGGTATAGTTTAAATCTGTTACTAGTACCGTAGGTTATGCTTTTGATTTCTATCTTTAAGATATGCTGCTTTAGGCTATATTGTCATGAGATGGAGATTTATTCTGTAATTTTTCATTATTTAATATATTTCTTTATTTCTTATAAAAAATATATATAGTCAGTAAATCTATTTTACGTAATATGCCACTATAGTAATGTCACACTTTGTCATAATTATTTGAAAAAAAAAATGTTAAGAATCTCAACAAAAATAAATAATTTAACTTTATCAAAGTGGGATC